TACCACTGATTTTTTTTAATCCTCACCTGAGGATAATTTTCCATTGCTTTTCAGAGAGAGTGTAAGGGAGAGAAAGAAACATCGGATGTGAGAGACACATCGATTGGTTGCCTCCCGCACGCACCCGGACCAGGGCCTGGGATCAAGGCTGCAACCAAAGAACGTGCCCTTGACCAGAATTGAACCTGAAACCCTTCAGTCCGTGGACCGACGCTCTAATCACTGAGCCAAACCAGCTAGGGTTTGAAATACCACTGATTTTTGTTTATTGACTTTGTATCCCGCTACTTTGCTGAATTTGTTTATTATTTCTAACAGTTTTTCTTTTTTGTGGAATCTTAAGGGTTTTCTACATTTAAGGTCATATCATTTGCAAACAGAAATACTTTTATTTCTTCCTTTAGATTTGGGTACCTTTTATTTCTTATTCTTGCCTATTGCTCTAGCTAGGACTTCCAGTAACATGTTGAATAGAAGTGGCCAAAGCAGGCATTCTTGCCTTGCTTTTATTCACAGAGGAAAAGTGTTCAGTGTTTCACATTGGGTATAATGTTGAGTGTGGGTTTTCCATATACAGCTTTTATTATGTTGAGGTAGCTGCCTTCTATTCCTAGTTTGTTGAGTGTTTTTATCAAGAAAGGGTGTTGAATTTTGTCAAATGTTCTTCATCATCCATTGAGATGCCCATGTGGTCTTTTTCCTTCATTGTTAATGTGGTGTATTACATTGATCAACATTGATCAATTTTCAGATGTTGAACCATCCTTGCACTCAAGGAATAAATCCCACTTGGTCATGGCATGTGATCCTTTTAATACGCTGCTGAATTTGGTTTGCTAGTATTTTTTGAGGATTTTTTAAACAATGTTCATGAGGGATATTGGTCTATAGTTTTCTTTTTTTTGTAGCATCTTTGTCTGGTTTTCATACCAGAATAATTCTGGCCTCAGAATGAGTTGGGGAGTATACCCTCCTCTTCAATTTTTTCAAAAAGTTTGAGAAGGATTGGTGTTAGTTCTTTAAATGTTTGGTAGAATTCACTAATGAAGTTAGGAGCTTACTTTGTCAGATTTTTTATTACAGATTCATTCACCTTAGTAATTACAGATCTATTCTGTATGGTTTGGTCTTGGTAGGCTTTGTTTCTAGGAAATTGTTCATTTCATCTAGGTGATCCAATTGTGGGTATACAGTTGTTCACAGTACTCTCTTGTAATCCTTTTTAATTTTGTGTAATCAGCAGTAATGTCCCCACTTTAATTTCTAATTTTAGTAATTTGAGGTCTCTTTTTTTCAGTCCACCTAGCTAAAGGTTTGTCAAGTTTGTTAATTTGTTCAAAGAACCAATTTTTTGTTTCATTGATTTTCTCTGTTGTTTAATTCTCTGTTTCATTGGTCTCTGCTCTAATCCTGATTCTTTCTTTCTTTCTGCTAGCTTTGGGTTTAGTTTCCTCTTCTTTTTCTAGTTCCTTAAATTGTAGAGTTTGGTTGTTGATTTAAGATCTTTCTTGTTTTTTAACATAAGCATTTATAGCTATAAATCCCCCCCCCCACACACACACCCCTTAGCACTGCTTTTGCTGTGTCCCATACGTTTTCATATGCTGTTTTTTTGTTTTTATTCATCTCTAAGTATTTTCTAATTTCCCTTGTGATTTCTTCTTTGACACATTGGTTGTTTAAAAGTGTTATTTAATTTTCACAAACTTGTGAATTTTTTCAATTTTTCTTCTGTCACTGATTTCTAACTTCATTCCTTCGTGATCAGAGATGTATGATGTCTATCTTCTTACATATATTGAGACTTAATCTGTGGCCTAACATATAATCTACCTTGGAAATTGTCCCATGTGCACTTGAGAAGAATGAGTATGTTTTTTTGTCTAGTGTTCTGCATATGTCTTTAGATCTCATTGGTTTCTTACGTTGTTCAAGTCCTCTATATCCTTAGTTATCTTGTCTGGTGGTCCTCTCCATTATTGAGAATGAGGTAGTGATGCCTCCAACTATTATTGCAGAACTTCTATTTCTCCCTCCAGTTTTATCAATTTTTGCTTCACATGTTTTGATGATTTGTTAGTGTGTGAATGTTTATAATTGTTATAGCTTCTTGCTCTATTGAATTTTTATTAATATATAATGTTCTTCTTTGTCTCTTGTAATTTTATTTTTATTTAAAGTCTATTTTGTCTAATGTTAGTATATCTACCCCCACTCTCTTTTGGTTGCTGTTTGCATGGAATGTCCTTTTCCATCCTTTCACCTTTTAATCTATTTATGTTAGCATCTTAAGTGAGTGTGTTGTAGACACACTATGATTGGATCTTTCTTTCCCCATTCTGTCAATCTATCTTTTAATTGGAGATTTTAATCATTTACATTTAAAGTAATTACTGATAAGGAGGGATTAACTTCTGGCATTTTGATATTTGTTTTTCTACATAAGTAGCAGTATTTTTTCTCTCCCATTTTCTGCATTATTCTCTTTTTGTATTCAGCTGATTTTTGGTAGTGAAACATTTAAATGGCTTTCTCATTTCCTTTAGTGTATACTCGATGGCTATTTTCCTTGTGGTACAATGAGGATTATATTTAACAACCTAAAATTTTAACACTCTGTTTTGAATTTATATGAGCATAACTTCAATAACATACAAAAATTCTGCTTCTTTAAAACTCCATCCCCACCCCTTTCCATTGTTGATTTCACAAAACTATGTATTTATACATCGTGTGTCCCAAAACATAAACTAATAATTCTTTTGGATCTATTAGTCTCTTAAAACATGTAGAAAACACAATATGGCACTACAAATCATTATTTCTTCAAATAGTCTCTCTGTCCCTTTCTCTCTTCTTTCTTCACAGTACAAATGTTAGTCAATTTGATGATGTACCATAGGTCCTTTAGGCTGTCCCATTTTCTTTAACCTTTTTTCTTTCTGTTCCTCAGACTCAATAATTTTCATTGTCTTATCTTCAAGTTCACTAATTATTTCTTTTGCCTATTCAAATCTGTGTTTGAATCCCTGAGTGGATTTTTCATTTATTCTACTTTCCAACTTCAGTTGGTTTCCTTTTAAGTCATCTATCTTTTTGTTGATATTTCCATTTTGTTCATACATTGTTTCTTGTCTTTCTCCACACCTTACTTTAGTTCTTTCAGCATCTTTAAGACAATTGTTTTAAAATAGACCCACCATCAGGTCTTTTCCAAGGGTTTACTGGTTTATTTTTTTCCTTTGCATGGTCAATACATTCCTATGTATGCCTTGTGTATCCTCTGTATGCCTTGTGATTTTTTATGAAAACTGGACGTTTGGATCTAATAATGGAGCAACTCTGAAAATCAGATTCTCCCCCTTCCCCAGGGTTTGCTGTTGTTTTGGGTTTGGGGGGTGTTGTTTTTTGGTTTGGGGGTGGGGGTTGTTGTTACAGGCTGTCTCTGTGCCAAGGCTCTGCCTGAAGTACAAACTCAAGGTCTTCTTGGCTCTTTTCTGAGCCTGCACCTTTCCCTGGGTATGCATAGTGACTTTCTAATTCCCCATGTATATGCTGTTATTTTTTTATGTTCTAGTCTTCAATGTCTGGCTCCAGAAAGGGAAGAAAGATAAAAATGAATAGAAAAAGAAGACAACAACCCTTTAAAACCCTGCAGGTCACTTCGGCCAAATGAAAAGCAGTTTGCAAAAATGAGAGGAGGTGCAACAATGCCACCATCTCTTTGTCTGAACCTCTATGAAAAGCAGCAGCAATGAGCAATCAGAACAGGTCCCAAATATATGGAGGATAGGGTGCTTTTTGCCCACCCTGGCTCCCACAATCTGTGTACAAGCTGCTCCGGGAAAACATGCATAGCTGCCTGCCACAGGGCACAATAGTGGGAGATGGGTAGCTGCTACTGTGAGAAGAGCTGTAATTGACCAAAATTAGTTTCAATTTACCACCCAAGCCTCCCCTCAGAAGTTACAAGCCTTTAATAGACTCCAGAAGTCTAAAATATTTACATTATACAGATTCTGCCCATGCAATTTTGTCTAGGTAGGGAGACAGATTTCTGTTGTTTCCACCATCTTCCCAGAATCCTCAAACCATGTTTTAATATTTAATAAGTTATTAAGCTTGAGTTATCACTTTATAATTTATATTTAATCAAATTTTAACTCAAAAGAAAGAATCCTGCTTACTTCATTATCTTTAAGCCTTCAATTAGCCACCTCTACACACAGGCATTACTGTCTTTCAGTCTGGACATAAGCCGAGAGATATGCGCTGGGACATCTAGAAGATGCAGTCACCAGTTAACAGGGATAGATAAAATGACCATGTTTTCTGAATTCAAAACTCAGATCAGTGCTTGACAAAAGATTTGAGAATGATTATGTGAAAAATCTTTTAAGTATATAAAAATTAGACCTGGCCAGGTGGCTCAGTTGTTTGGAAGATCATCCCATACACCAAAAAGGTTGTGGATTAAATCCCCGGTCAGGTTGTGTATAAGGGAATAGATCATACCGATGTTTCTCTCTCTCTCTTTCTCCCTTCCTCTGTCTCTAAAAATCAATAAAAAGCATATCCTCAGGTGAAGATTAAAATTATATATATATACATATATATATAAATTAAATTGCATTATAAATTTAATGCACTGGCCTTTACTAAAAATTAAAAAAGAAAAATCTAATCTAAATTGTCTCCAGGAAACTAAGCAATAGAGTCTCCACATATATATTGAAAGAAGAGCAGGGAGTGGAGAGGCATTGATCATTGAATGAATTATTTTTAACTTTCATTCCTTGTGTGTTTTGATCATAACATCCCAGCAAATGTCTTATAATAAGATCAGTATATTTTTCTTTACACTTAATGTAAATACCAACAGTGGTCTCCCATCAACATTATACAAGGGCACCACTCCACAGGTTTCTTAATCAAATATTAAAGTAATCACATGTAATAAAAATAAAATCACAATAATAAAAAACACGAGTACAATGTAGAAAAATACAAAAATGTAATTTATTTGCCTTATTTACCAAATGGTTAGCTATAAAGATACAATTTTTGCCTTGGAGTTTAAGGCAGTTTCATTTTTCATCAGTTACTTTTTTTTATCATTTGCTAGAATCAGCATCTTCTGTCTTATCTGTACTTAATTGATCACTTATGTTTTACACATTTGTGCACTTGAGAATCATATTTCTTCATGATCACTGAGGCTCAGTAGTATAAAAATGTCATTGTCTTCATATATTTGAGTAATACCGATCACGGTTTTGAAAGTCTCTATGAGCATATTTTGCATAAGTCTTGTTATGTGGGATCCTTCCAAAAGGTTCATGGTCATTGAAACAAGATTCAAAGACATCATCAACAGCCTTTTCAGCTACTTCTTTGCTGATATTTCTAACAGCCAGGATAGAAAGAATGGCTCTGTCTCTCACACAAGTCTAAAAAGAAAGGAAAGTATGTGGCTTTAAAATTTAATTATCAAATAATAACATCTTATATAATATCTGAACCATAATCAAAACTGTTATTTTATTCTGTCATTCCTAAGAAGAAATCAGCTCAATCTAAAATTATTTAGGTATTAAAATTAAAATAAATTAATTAATTAAAACAAAATAGCCCAGCCGGGTGTGGCTCAGCGGTTGAGCGTCGACCTAGGATCCAGGCGATCGGGGTTAGATTCCCAGCCAGGGCACATGCCCGGGTTGTGGGCTCGATCCCCAATCGGGGGCATGCAAGAGGCAGCCAATCAATGACTCTCTCATCATTGATGTTTCTATCTCTCTCTCCCTCTCCTTTCCTCTCTCTGAAATCAATAAAGATATATTAAAAAATAATAATAAAAATAAAATAATTTAGGTATACGTAAGAACTCCAATTTTCTCATCCTTTCCAATAATATAAGCAGATATCATTCTCTGAAGTTCTAGGCAGCGTTTGCCAAACAATAACTCTCAATTTGCAAAATCATAAAAAAGTGGAAAAACAAGGTTCTGGTTGAATTAATAGAATTTAAATAAATTTCAAATATACTTTACTTTTGTAACTCTCTTCCTTTGCAGTTGACCAATGCTAGGTAACTTTTCCTTTGAGAGAAGCTCTAGCCCCTGAAGGCAATAGGAAACCACACATATATATACACAGTTTGAAAGTATCTTCATTTTTCAGGGGGGGGGGAATCAAACAAAGTTTTTGTTTGTTTCTGAGTGGTTTTTGCATGGGTGTTAAAGTTCTCTTCCTAAGAAAATAATTTACCTAATGTTACATAGTAATAGACTAGAATTACTCAGTATTCTAAATATTTTAAGAAACATAAGGTTTTGCCATTCCAATTCTTGAAGAGCTTTTACTCATTTTATTTCCTCACAGGCCCAAACTAAAACTCAAAAGAATGACATTTAACCTTTTCCTGAAAAATAAACATGGATCCTGATGGCTGTGCACCCTGTCAATCATTGATTTTCTCTGCAAGTTCCCAGTTTTACTTTGGCCTGGTCAGCATACCCAACCTGGACATGCTCACTGATATTGGAATATAAAACAGTGCTTCTCAACCTAAATTACACCAAACACTGATTTTTAAAATAAACCCCAGGCATAAAGGATTAAGAAGAGAAGGACTGATACAAGCCACAACTGAATTGCCAGAGAGGAAATTTCTCCCTTCCAGGGGGGAATAAAATGGTGGTAAAAATCTGTCTCCTGGAGCCACAGGGAGATGCAATTCAGATCACAATTCAGACTCACTTCTTTCTAGATGTTATAAATATCTGTTAAAAGTGTACTATTTTACAGTCAGTTACTGTGGTTGATGTTTATATTTCTTGGGAACAAAAGCAGGATTCCATTCCCTAACACTTCCCCCTCGACCAGGCTCCCACTACCTCCACATAGTTACTATCCTGCTGCAAGTTTTATTCATTTTCAGCTGCTGTTACCCAAGGTAAAATAAATAAATAAATAAATAAATAAATAAATAAATAAATAAATAAATAAATAAATAAATAAATAAATAAGAGAGAGACTTCTCTTTCAAAGACTCTGGGCCCTGGATCACATGCTTTAAGCTCATTGTCATCTTCTCCTTCCACCTTCCCACTGAGAGCCAGAGCACACAGGCCATTCAAACGGAGACCAAGCAGAACTTACCCCAGGAGCAGGGATCCAAGAGCACAGAAAACGTGGCACAAAGCAGCTCAGTGCGGTACCACTAAGCTGACAGCACAGGCTAAAAACATAGCAGCCTTACCTGAGTCATCACCCTCTCCAGGCAGCAGGCTTCTCTTCTGCTCCCACTAAGTTCACCTCTCTTAGTAGTTCCCCGTGACTGTCTACCCCCTGCCCCAGAGTTTAGCGACTCCTCTAGAGAACCGAGGGCCTTTCTGTTATTGTTCCATGCCTATCCTCTTTGCATCTGCTGTCCAGCTGAAACTGCTATCCTGATGCTCATGACCCTTACAAACTGGCCTCGCAAGCTCTTTCCACAGAAAATCTCTCACCAGCCTTTCTCCTAAGAGTGGACACAGAGCCCCTCGGTGGCTGTGGGGAGAACTGCTCATTCATGATCAGTGCACTGGTTCTATACTCCTCTCCTCGTGTCCGCCTGTGGCAGGTAGATGTATGACACAACAGCAAAGCTTTCCAACAGGATGATCTTGCCTATAGTTTTCTTTTTGGTTTTTGTTATTGGCTTTGTTTAGTTTTGTTTACAAAATCCCTCTGAGCTCAGTTCATCATAATCAAATCTGTGCCAATCCAAAACTTTGCTATGATGTCACACATCCTTTAACGGTGCACTAACACGCAGCTGTAACCTCTGCAGCAGTGCACTCTCTTCTGAAAGGCGTTACTTTCTTGTCTTGAGAATATGGTGGTAGTTTTAAAATGCAAATCCATGACTGGTAGGATAAAAGTAAGACAGGCTGTGATTTCACTTCCATTCCTTATCTACCTGCATCCAAAAGCATCCGAAGAGCAAGATCATAGTAAATCTTTTCACTGTTAAAATCTCTCAGTCAGTCACATAGCTTGCCCATAATTATAAAACAGAACTAAATTCCATGTATTTGGCTTAAATGATATAGCTTATATTCTTTTCATATAAGTAGTTCTTTCAAATTTCAAATACTAAATATACTTCTCATTTCTTTATTCATTATTTCCACTCTTAGCACTCTTGAAGGTAAGTTATTCATGTTAGTTTTTACCTTATGGTGTTGTTTTAATCCAAAATGTAGCCTGAATAGTTCATTTACAAGCGAGCAGTCTCCACTGAGGTTAGCAGCTCGAATCTATCACAAAGACAGAAGGCAAACAGAGAAAATAAGTGCTTGTGCTCTATACCCTTATAGCAACCAACTGTTTTAAATTGAAAAAATATATAAAGGTAGCACATTTTTCTGTGATCGGAGTAACTGTAAGACTGTTTTTAAAGAATTTTTAAAACTCTATTGACTCCAGAAGTTCTTTAGTTAAGAAAGAGAGCAGCTATCCATGAGCTATGTGAGACAGCGCCAAAGGCACTGGGCTGGCATGTGCGTGACAACCTGAAGCCAGGACATATTTTCTAATTTACTACATTTTTAAAGTAAGTAACAGCTTTAAAGATAAAAAAAGCCTTGGAACTACCCACATAGATTCTACAGCTAACCTGGCCACATTTTTGCTAATTCACTGCAACCAGAATGGCCCATTTCATGTTATTTCGCAATAACGTGGTCGTACTCCTCTGAAGAGCTCAAGGCTCTTACACATTTTAGCTCTCAGGCACTAATCCTCGTAACACCTGAGAGAGAGAGACCTATTTAACACTCAGGATTCACAACCTGGCCGGGTGTGGCTCATCGGTTGAATATCAACCTAGGATCCAGGCAATTGTGGTTCGATTCCTGGCCAGCACACATGCCCGGGTTGCGGGCTCATCCCCAGTCGGGACATTCAGGAGGCAGCCGATCAATGGCAACTCTCTCATCATTAATGTTTCTCTCTCTCGCTCTCCCTCTCCCTTCCTTTCTCTGAAATCAATAAAGATTTTTTTAAAACAAAAAAACAACTCAGGATTCACTAATGAACAAAATAACCTGACGAACAAAATAGAAACAGAGGCATGAATACATGGAACAGACCGACAGCTGTCAGAGGGGTGAGGGATGGGGGGACTGGATGAAAGAAGGTGAAGGGATTAGTGAGAGAACATATATGCATAACCCATAGGCACAGACAAGAGTGTGGTGATGGCCAGAGAAAAGGGGTGGTGGGGGATGGGTGGAGGTGGGCAATGGGGGGGTGAGGAATGGGGACATCTGTAATAGTGTCAACAATAAAAATAAAGTAAAAAAAAAACTCAGGATTCAGTCTACTCTCCAAATAATATGAGTTATAGTTAGATGCAGTAAGGTCGCTTATTGATTTCAAGGGAAAGAGAAATAATGTAAAATATAAAATATTAGCTTGAAATTTCTATTAGGTTGTGTTTTTTTTAAATAAGTTTTTATTGATTTCAGAGAGAGGAAGGGAGAGGGAGAGAGAGACAAACAGCAATGGATTAATAAAATGCAAGTATGAAATATTTATGTCTCTTTAGGAGCATATTTATATTTATATGTATATTTCTGAGAACAATCCAAAGTGCTTACTAATAAATATTTTTTTATGTTGTATTTCTGAGACAGTGTTCACTCTAGAGCAAGAAAGGAACTTTACTTAGAGAAGGCAGCACAGAAAACCAGTAAGAACCCTGGTTATAATCCTGCCTCTTCCATTTACTGAACCATGGAATCCAAACAAACGCCTCACTTTCCACAGACACAAAATGAGGGTAATAGTATCCACTTCCACGGGTTGTTGTGAAGATTATATAAGAATCTACAAACACTTTCTGTGCCAATAGCACTCTAGCAAACATGATGAACGTCCCTAAAACCCACTGGACTTTCTGTAGGAAGTGTGGCAAGCATCAACTTCACCCCCAGGGAAAGCGGCTTCAGGACAGGAAGCAGAGTGGCTACAATGGGCAGACTAAGCCAATTTTCCAGCAAAAAGGCTAAAACTAGCCCTAGCCAGTTTGGCTCAATGGTTAGTCAGCCCGTGGACCGAAGGGTCCCAGGTTCAATTCCAGCCAAGGGCATATATCTCGGTTGCAGGCTCAATCCCCGGCTCCCGTCGGGGCATGTGCAGGCAGCAACCAGTCGATGTGTCTCTCTCACATCCATGTTTCTCTCTCTCTCGCCCTCCCTTCCTCTCTCTGTGAAAAGGAATGAAAAAAAATATATCCTTGGGTGAGAATTAAAAAAAAGAAAAAAAGCTAAAACTACAAAGAAGATTTTGCTCAAGCCCTGGCTGGGTAGCTCAGTTGGTTAGAGCACTGTCCCGATACACCAATGTTAACAGGTTCAATTCCTGGTCAGAGCACATACAAGAGTCACCCAATGAATGCATAAATAAGTGGAACAACAAATTGATGTGTCTCTCTTCCCCCCCCGCCCCCGTCCCTTCTTCTACCTACAAAATCAATAAATTTTAAAAATTAATTTAAAAAAAGAAGGTTGTACTGAGGCTTGAATGCACTGAGCCCTACTGCAGATCTGAAAGAACACTGGCAATTAAGAGATACCAGCATTTTGAACTGGGAGGAGACAAGAAGAGAAAGGGCCAAATGATCCACTTCTAAGCTTCATATTTTGTTTTATTATGTAACAATAAAATCTTGAGGATATGTTCTTAAAAAAAAAAAAAAAATTAAAAAAACCAGCCCTAGCTGGTTTGGCTCAGTGGTTAGAGTGTTGGCCTGCGGACTGAAGGGTCTCAGGTTCGATTCCAACCAAGGGCAATGTACCTCGGTTGCAGGCTTGATCCCCAGCCCCGGGGCACGCACAGGAGGCAACCAATTGATGTGTCTCTCTCTCTCCCTTCCACTCTGTCTGAAAAAGCAATGAAAAAAACATCTTCGTCTAAGGATAAAAAAAAAAAAGAATCCACAAACAGAACAGTGACTGGCACACAACCCTCAGTTAATGTTAACTATCCTTATTTTTTTATGTTATATAGTTTATTCCATAAGAAATAGCTTATTATTATAGTTAATCATCACTACTATTAGAATTAAAAGGTTATAGTTAACATAATTCTTTAAAAAATACTTAAAATGTCTCTTGTATCTCAAAAATTGTACACAACAGAAACAGAAATTCAAGACTAACGTGGAACTACGGCAGTAAGAAAAGGAGTATGTTTAAATAAATTATACTTGAATAAACTGTTCAAACACAATGTTCTGCAGGAAAAAAAGATATCGTCCACAATAAAACTCACCTCTGAGCAGGCCAAATGTCTGACATTGGTGAACCAGTCAACATGAGCGCGACAATGATCATATGCGTGAATGAGCTCATGGGTGACCACTCTGTTCATATGGGCCTGATTACGGATATTATTCTGGCACAAAACAATCTAGGAGGCACCAAAATAAGAGAAGTTCAGTTATGTCTAAAATCTACTCTCATTTCATGGATTCTATCTTCTCTCTCCCATGAAGGGGGCTCACCCGCTTGTGTTGCCTCCACCCCCTTTTCTCCACTGACCCCACACCTACCCATCCGTCAAGGCCCAGTCTTAACTACACAGTCCATTAAGCCTTCCCAATGATTAACGTCTCCCTTCTCTCCTCTCTGACTATAACAGCACTTGGATTAAGGACACTCATTCACATACTGTCCTCACTGGGCTGACTAGCAGTGTGTCTTGGAATCCACAGCATTGTATTTAGAGTGTGGACTTTGGAAGAAGCAGACAGATTCAAAGTCTAGCCCCATTCCTTACTAATTCAGTGACCTGGGGCAAGTTTCTGAACTTCCCTGTGCCTCAGTTTCCTCAGCTATAAAAAGGAGATAATTAGAGTGCCTACCTCAAAGAATTGTGAGAATTAAATGAGAATATATGTAAAATGCTTCTGAACAAGTTTCTGAATGAGCAATGAATCAACAGTGAATGACCACCACTGTTCCACTCTGTAAGAACTGCCAGGAAAAGTCCTCAGAAAGACATTCAGAAAGAAGTGCAAAAAGCCACAGCACACTGAGCAAGACCCTATAAGAATAATGACATGAAGGATCCTAATAATAACAATTACCATTTAGTGTGTAATTTCTATGTGCTTGGCACTGGGATATGGGCCAGATATTTCATATATATTTATTCAAAAGCCATTTATTCAACTAATGTTTATTGAGACCTATTAGTAAATTTATAATCTACTAACAGAGATAGAAATTAGTCAGTATTTACCAAAATACTTGAATACACACAATGATAGCTATCATGAAACCCAGGCTGTCATGAGTACCTAAAATGAGAATGCCTGGCCTGTCTGGAGATTTGGGAATGGCTTCTCTGCAGAAGGAATGTTTAAACTGGGATCTAATGAATGAATGGGAGTTAAATTTGAGGAGGGGGGAAGGGAGCATACCAGAGAAAACAGCCTATGCAAAGGGTATGAGGATTATTGAAGGAATAGAAGTTTGAGAAGCTGAAAGCAGGCCTATATTGCTGAAGCAGAGTTTGAGGTGGTGAGCACCAGATAACGCTGGTGAGGTAAGCAGTGGCCAAATAACTGAAAGCCTTGTCTTTCTCCTGAGAGCAACGGGAAGTCACTGAAAGGGAATAGTGAAATGGGGAGGGGGGGGTGCTTTTGTTTTGTTTTCATCCTTTGACTATAGTTGGAAAAATATGCAAAAAATGAGCAAAACTGGAGTCAGAGAGACTAGCTAAAGGCTAATGAAGTATTCTTGGTAATAGGTAAAGATACCTGAGTTAGGATAGTGGGAGCCAAAAATGGTAATTAGGATGCAAATTAGATAAAATTTGGTGATGGAGAGAATATGGGAAAGGAATCAGAGATATCAAGGATGATCCCTAATTTCTGGTTTGTGTAATAGGGTGGATGGTGGTATCATTCACTGAAATATGCAAAACTAAAAGACCAGGTTGCATGGGGTAGGGGATGGTAAAAATCATCAATCTGGACTTGGACAGGTCAGGTCTGATGTACCTTTAAGACAACCAAGGTGGGTGTTAAGTGGGCACTTAGATATATAGATGTGGAATTCAAAAGAGAGCTCTAACCTAGGAAAATAAATGAGATCCCCTTGGCAAAGTATACAGTAAAAAGGAAGGGGATCTAACACCAAGGATTAAGGGACTTCAACATTTAAGGGCTGACAGAAAGGTGAGCTAGCACGCGGCCGGGCGCGGCTCAACAGTTGAGCATCGACCTCGGATCCAGGCAACCGGGGTTCGATTCCTGGTCAGGGCACATGCCCAGGTTGCGGGCTAGACAGCTGATCAATGATTCTCTCATCATTGATGTTTCTATCTCTCTCTCTTCCTCTCCTTTTCTCTCTCTGAAATCAATAAAAGTATTAAAAAAAAAAAAAGGTGAGCTAGCAAAAGAGCTACCAGAAGAGTGCTGTGCACCAGGCACCATGGGAAGAAAAGTGTTTGGCATGACCTGCTAAAGTCAAATGTACGCATAGCACATCACCCAGCAATTCCACTCCTAGAAATATACCTTGGAGTAACCAGGAGAAAAGTTAAAAAATATTCACAGCAGTGTTGTTCAAAATAACAAAGTTGGGAAGAATATTAAATAATGTAAACTATGGCATAGGCACACAATGGAATACTATCCAACAGTGAAACTAAATAAACCAGAAGTATACACAACAACATGGAAGAATCTCACAATGTTAACAAAAGAAATGTTGCAGAAGATTACATACTGTGTGAGTTCATAAAACTACAAAGTATTACAAAGTATAACTCAAAGTATTCCATGAATAAACCTTAAGAGCAGGAAACTAACATTATTGGGTTGTACATATAGACGGTAAAGTAATTCAGAAGGCAGGGAATGATTACCACAAAAGCCAGAATAGGGAAGGAGAGGCAATGTGATTCAAGAGGGGCAAACAGGCTCCTGAAGTCCTGGCATTGCCCTATTCTTCACGTCGGTGGCAGTTATGCAGGTGTTCCTTACATGGGTGTACATAGAGGTTTTTTACTTTCTGTATGAATGAGCTACTTCACAATACAAATTTTTATTTTAAAAAAATTTAAAAGAGAGTGTCCACTGTGTTCAAAACTGCTGAGAAGTAAGATGGAGGTTCCAAATGTCCACTGTATTTAACCTCAAGGGGGGATGAACTTACCAAGACCCGATTTGAGAGCTATAGGTATTGTGATTACAAATTTACAAGTGAGGAAACTGAGAATAAGGCAAATGACCTGCCAAAGCCCCACAATTAATAAGCAGGAGAACTAGGATTTGAACTCAATGCTACCTGACTCCAAAATCCAGGCCCCTCACCCCTGGGTTGTACTGCTTTTTCCCATGACTACTGTGAAACAGATATAAATAACCAAAATACATATAAAATTCTCCAGCAGGGAACAATTAAGTGCAGTTAGATTCGGGTTATATTCAAGATGGAAATAGTTACTTATAACACCTTCATCTACCCTCATCACATGACATAATCTATCTACCACCTCCAAGATTCTCTCAAAACCCTCCAATGACTTAAAGCTAATAACATGTATTGAGTGCTACTATGCTTTCTATGATGGCACTTTATAAGAAATGTCTCATTTAATTCTCATAACCATTCTATAAGACAGACACTAACATTACCCATATTTTACAGATGAGAAATCTCACTCCCCTAATCAAAAATTTTCAGCCCGGCTGGCGTCGCTCAGCTGTTGAGCATCAACCTAGGATCCAGGAGATCGAGGTTCAATTCCCGGTCAGGGTACATGCCCGGGTTGTGGGCTCGATCCCCAGCGTGGGGTGTGCAGGAGGCAGCCGATCAATGACTCCCTCTTGTCATTGATGTTTCTTTCTATCTCTCTCTCCCTTTCCCTTCCTCTCTCTGAAATCAATAAAAAATATATTTTAAAAAAAATCCAAAGGCATATATCACTTCTCACCATGTAAAGGTGAAGCTCTTTAGCTTAGCATTCAAAGCCTCCCACCATATGGCTTACTATTCTTTCCAATTCTGTTTCCCCTATTTCCCATGCATTTCTGCCCTCCAGTAAACTAGACAACATGTCATTCCCCAAATATACATTGTTCTTTCCCAACACGCCATCTTTGCTCATGATTCCCCTGCTTGGGCAACAGCAGTCTTTGTCTTCTTTGCCCTGATCCTCTAGCTGAATCTGTTGGCATCTTTCAGTCAATCATGTCACTGTCCCATTGTGGTAATCATGCCCACCTAAAATAGTTTGACCTGCCTCCAATTTTGTCATTGTCTGTGTTCACGTCTTTTCTCCATGTGAAGGTATATGCTCCTTAAGAGTAAGGCTCGTGGCTAATTCATTTTTTGAATCCCACACAAAGTCTACTGAACAGTCCCCAGCATGCAGAAGGTCCTCAACAAATATCAGGAGAATCGGAGGAAAGCAAACAACTTGGCAAAAATGCCTACCTGAGACATGGAAGCATCAAAACCTCCACTGACATTTCCATTACAGTCTTCACAAGAAAAGTGTCTTTCTCTGTTAACAGCACTAAAAGGCAAGAAGGAATTCGAGACAATGTCCAGAAGCAATGTGCATGTGGCACAGGGAACAGCCCTGGGCCAGGAGACCCACATCAAATCCCTGCCACCACTCACACATATGAAACACTGGGAAAGCAACCTAACACCCCCAGGACTCAGTTTTTTCCTCTGTAAAACAAGGAAATTATCTCTGAAATCTATCCTAATTCAAATTCTATGAACTTTATGATTTATAAAGCATTTGGTCAACTAATTAAGACCATATTGGAAATACGATAGAGTTCCTGTCCTTGGGCCAGAACGGTAAGAAGTAGACCTCAGAAGTCACTTCCTCCAATCCCCTCAAAGTTAAACAGCGCCTGGATAGTTCCTACATAACAAGCTGAGATTTATTCTCCATTAAGGACATTGCCAAGGCTGGCAGAGTGGAAAAGCCAGGTTTAGTAATTACTTACAAGAAAGATTTTAAGTATTGTCTTTACTAAATAACCGAGATGTAGCGTTAGAGCAGATGTCCGAAAAGAATAAGACTTGTCTGGAGAGAATGCAGCCAATCACTACCACCCACCATATGGAAAAAGGCTTTGTGGCCTAAAGTTAAATATAAGTGTTTCCAGTTTTTTTTGGGGGGGGGTGTTTTTAGCAGCCAGAATATAGAGCAGCACTTCAAAAAGATTTACTTACCAACCTGAGTGCTTCATGGCATCAAGTAGAAGTTTGACATACGGATCTAAAAAGATATTGATTCAATTACATATGCAAATTGGAAAAAATAGCCAATTAAATTATCCAACTAGCAGTATAAGGTATTATCAAAAAGCAATTCACAAATCTTAATGAGGTAATACTATATTAAAATTGTTTTTTTTAAAAAAGACAAGCTTAAATTAACATAAAAGCAAGCCTTTAATGAAATGAAACACTGATACAAATACCAGATGGGTCCTACCAAACATCTCAGATAATATCAAATATGGTTTTTTAATTTTTTTATTGATTTTACAGAGAGAGAGAAAGGAAGAGGGAGGGAGGGAGAGAAATAGAGAGAGAGAGAGAGCAAGAGACAGAGAGAGAAACATGGATCAGCTGCTGGGGATCAAACCCGCAACCTGAGCGTGTGCCCTAACTGGGACTTAAACCAGTGACATTTCAGTGCACAGGATTATGCTCAGCCAACTGAACCACACCAGCCAGGGCAACATCAAATATATTTTTAAAGGACATTTTTAGTTAAATGATCAAAGACTGAGGGAATCTTGGGCCATATCCACAAAAATGAGCAGCAGCATCGTATCTAGATACAGAGAAAGGCAGTAAGTAGCCCCACTGTGGTCTGTCCCAGTCAGACCACACTGGTAACACAGCGTCCAGTCTGAGTACCACACTCTAAGCGGGACCTGCCAAATGAAGCTCTTCCATGAGGAAAGGTAATTAGTACAGGACTATGTTCGGTAAGAAGCAAGTCGATATTTCTTAAGAGGATAGAACAAGGATCAAAGGGTGTAAGTTACATGGAGCAGATTCCAACTCGGTATGAGAAAGGGTTTTTCCAACAATTAAAGCTTTTGATACAATAGACGAGCAGCCTCAAAGAACAGAAAACCTGTTCCGGCAGAGGTCTATAAACGCTCTGGTCAGTGATGGCACAGAGATTTTCCTGCATGGCGGTGGAAAGGCCTATGACTCCTGAGGGCCCTTCCACTTCTAAGAGCCTATGAGCCTGTGGCGATTACAGGAAAGTACAATGAACCCAAATGCCTCTAATAACTGTTCTCACAGGTATCTTGTCTGAGAGTATAAATGCACAGCAAATTATAAGACATAAGCAAAAAAATAGGGGGGAAAAGAAATGAAGGGGTTTTTTACAGTGTTGAAAGCAAAAACAGGGAGAGTAAAAGAAAAGTAGTTATTGGGATGATAAAGTTAGGTTAGGTTACTGCTTCACTAGCCTGCCTCCTCTTAAGAGTGTTAACAGTAAAATAATTATTATGAACAAGTATTATTTAGTGTATATCAGGTGTCTCGCACCATATCAAGTAATTATTATTCAAGCAACTAAGAAACTTTTACAAAGTTGAAGTAGGTTCAAAAATCTATAGTCCTCTCACTAAA